GGCCAGGCTGCTGTGCTGGGGAGTCTGAGCCTCCTTGCGGCCCTTCCCTTCCCGAAACAGGCAGCAATTGGAATCTGAGAAGAAACGGAGAGAAACGGTTGAGAGAGAAAAAGAGCAGATGATGCGCGAGAAGGAGGAACTGATGCTCAGGCTGCAAGACTACGAGGAGAAAACCCGGAAGGCGGAGAGAGGTGGGCGGGGCCTGTGGGAGACGCCCTTCTGGGTGGGTTTGTGGTGGGAGGGACTGACAGACAGCACATGGGAGACCGGGAAGGAAACTGCCAGGAATACGCACTTCGGTTGAACACAGTGCCCAAAGTCGAGGCTTGCGGGAGAGGAATGATAGGACGGTTATTTGGATTCGAAAATCACTCTGAACTTTATTAACACCTGTGCTGGTTCTTTGCCAAATGCATACATTATCTTTTTAAAATTTCCCCTCAATCCTATGAGGGAAGGACCGAATTATCCCCATGTTCCTGATGAGGATGTTAAGGTTCAGTAAGGTAAAATGCTTTGCCTGAGGTCACACTGCCAGTGAGCACCTGAGCCCTGGTATTGTCCCCACCTCATAAGCTAGGACCCAGGCGCCCAGTGGTGTGAGTGCAGCTGGCCCGGGCTGGGAGAGGGCAGCTTGACCAGCTCTGTGCAGCGGTTTAACCTTCCTAAGGACGTTGTTGTGTAAACACAGTGGGGACCAGCAGTCCAGTGTTCCCTTCAGTGTCACTGGGAGAAGAGCCCCATTAACCTGTAACTGGCTCCACTTCTTCGCAGCATTGGTGTGATTCCAGTTCATGATCCCATCCGATCCCCGGGTGGGAATTCAGGGCAAGACTGCAGGGTCCCTGGCTGGACCCTTTGAGCAGCTCTGGTTCTGTGCTCTCTTTAGAGCTCTCGGACCAGATCCAGAGAGCCCTGCGGCTGGAGGAAGAGAGGAAGCGAGCGCAGGAGGAGGCGGAGCGCCTGGAGGCCGACCGCATGGCCGCGCTGCGAGCCAAGGAGGAGCTGGAGAGGCAGGCGGCAGATCAGATAAAGAGCCAGGAGCAGCTGGTAGGAGTTGCCTGGCCTCACAATGCTGAATTATGGAGAGGCTGCCTCTGGGGATCGAAAAAGTGACACCTGCTTTATGATACTTTGTATCTGAGCTGTAAAGTGATCTGCCTGAGGGTGGAAGGTGTAAAGTGGCTGGTGGAGAGGGGGCTGTGCGGTGGGCGGGGGCGGCCAGGGTGGGACGTGGTGGCCTGGGTGAGGCGTGGCCTCAGATACTGCTGGCCAGGGAGGACATTTACCAAAACACGTGGCCCTTGATTCACAAGTGGACTGTTGAAAGCGTTCCAGAAATAATTTCAGCTTCGACTCCTTTGCCAGGCCACGGAACTTGCAGAGTACACAGCCAAGATCGCCCTCCTGGAAGAGGCGCGGAGACGCAAGGAGAACGAGGTGGAGGAGTGGCAGCTCCGGGTGAGTGTATGGGGTGCCGGGTGAGGCAGCCTGGGCCAGGCGAGCAGGTCCTCGGGAGCATTTTGCAACGCTGCCCAGTCGCACAGTGGATACTGCCACCCTTCTCAGACAGAGATCCCCGCGGGAAGGGGCTCGTCCCGCGTACTGGCGAGCACGCTAGTGGATTAACGGGGGAACAAAGAGCCTCTTGTTGGTTCGCACCCACTGTGCTCTGGGCCCCCGAGCTGTTCTGCCCACCGGGCAGGCCCCTCTGGATCTAGCTTTAAATCGGATGATGTGGATGGTCCCTAGCCTCAGCCACAGCCCCCTAAACAAGCCCTCCTGCTGCCCTGGAATGTTGGTCTCCATAGCACGGCATGGCAGGAAGACCTGGACCCTTGGGGTCCCCAGACCTGGCGAGAGTCCAGGCTCTGCCACTGGTTCTTGTGTGACAGGGTGGGTGCCCTCACCTCTGAGTCTCGGTTTCCTTGTCACAGATTGGGATGAGTAATACACTGACTCGTAAGGACCCCGCAGAGATTTAGTAAACTGTAGCTATAATATTGAGAACCACATTCACTCTGGAGTCGGAGAGCCCGTCTCCTTCCGCAAGTCCTCACTCCCACCAGGAGTGCATGGTCCTAGGGATGCTGTGGGTTGGGTTCAGAGTGTAGACCTCATCCAGGCTCCTCTCGCCTCCCCAACCCTCCTGCCTGCCCTTTTCCACACCCCAATCTGCTGTGGCCCCTTCTGGGACACCTGGCCCCACCCCACCCCTGTCCTCACCCCCGCACACATACCCCAACCCAAGTTATGTGCAAAAGACTGCAGTCCTTAGGTTTTTAGAGAAAGTGCTCATCGTTACAGAGTATTAAGTGAGAAGCTGGTTACGAAGCAGGTCAAGCTAAATTCATCTCTAGGGTCAGGTTGGTGATGAGGTGGGTGGGATTGAGTGTGTGTACCCCCGAGAAGTTGCTGGAAGGATTATGGGTGCTGGGTAAGAAAGTGTGTGAGCCAGGTCCTGGCAGGCAGAGAGGAGCTTGATAAAAAGTGGCCACACAGGGTAGAAACCGAACACCAGAACATTATAGGGCTGTTTGGTGGCTCAAGGGTTTGAGTTTCTTTGATAAATTTTTTTCAAAAATATATACAATGAGCCCGTACTAGGATTATAGACATGAAGTTACAGTACTTAGGAAAATGTCAAGTCCTGGCATAACAGTTTCTTGGTGTTATGGGCCCAGACCAGGAGGATTTTTCCCACCGTGAACAGGGGTGCCAGGGCAGCTGCAGTCCAGCCCTCGGCTCTGGGCTGCTTCAGGGCACCGGCATCCAGCCCCCAGGGGAAAGGCAGTGGGGGGAGGCAGGCTACAGAATCTTTCTCTTGGCAAGGAGAGTGGGCCTTCTTTTAAAGACCAGATGATTCTTAAGAAAGTGGTTGTTCCAAGTTCTCACCTGCCTGTTCTCACCTGCTTTCAAAGGCCAAAGAAGCACAGGATGACCTGGTGAAGACCAAGGAGGAGCTGCACCTGGTGATGTCTGCCCCCCCGCCCCCGCCGCCCCCTGTGTACGAGCCCGTGAGCTACCACGTCCGGGAGAGCCCACAGGAGGAAGGCACGGAGTACACGGGCTACAGCGCCGAGCTGTCCAGCGAGGGCATCCTGGACGACCGCAACGAGGAGAAGCGGATCACCGAAGCCGAGAAGAACGAGCGCGTGCAGCGGCAGCTGATGGTGAGCGCGGGCGGCGAGCAGGCGCCCCTCCTCGGGCCTAGGGGCTCCGGCCCGCCCGGCACCCTTGCCCTGGGAGGGAGCGGCTATGTGTGTGCAAGGTGTCGAGCTGACCGATGCTGCTTCGTGTTGCAGACGCTGACCAATGAGCTGTCCCAGGCCAGAGACGAGAACAAGCGGACCCACAACGACATCATCCACAACGAGAACATGAGGCAAGGCCGGGACAAGTACAAGACGCTGCGGCAGATCCGGCAGGGCAACACCAAGCAGCGCATCGACGAGTTTGAGGCTATGTGAGGGGCGCAGCCGCACCGGCTCCGGGGGAGGCCGCTGGCCGCCTTCAGTGCCTGCTCGTAGTGCTCTGCGCCCGCACCCCTTGTCCTCCACGTCCTTTATAAAGAGTAGTTATCCCAGTGGGAATGTTCTGGGGCTGGGACCAATGGAAGTGTCCCTGGTTTATTTTTCCCAATTGTATCATAGTGCCAAACAGGCCTGATTTTTATTATTACTGTTAAATTACTTCCTGTTTTATGCTTGGAGCAGGACTGAATCAATTAAGGAAAGATGCCTGTTTAAGTCTGAATAACTCCATGCTGGCATGTGTGACACAAGAGTCAGCAAAATTAAGACCACGTCGTGGCTTATATTCTGTGCCATACTTTTTCTGTATTTGAAATTAGCTGAAATTGATTTCCTCTTGGTTTCAATGAAGGATCCATCTTTGTATATTTGCTTTTTGAAGGGTGAAAATCTTGAAAGTTGAGTCTAAAATACACTTACACGCACACACGCACGCACGATTTCCTTCCTCCAGGCCTTCAGTTGACGAAATCCTGTGATCATTCAGGATAAACAGTGCAGGAGGGTATATACTCCACGCTTGGATAAATTTTTCTTGTTTTCCTTTTTTCTTTTTTGCTTAACCATTAGAGCTGCATTGTTGGACTTAGACACCTAAATAATGATCAGCTATAGAGTATGATATTTATATGTAAGTGATAATAGGGTTTGTAACTTTAGTTTAAAAAAGGGAACGTTTCATTCTGTATATTTTGTTACCTTTTACAGAATAAAAAGAATTACATATTAAAAATCATGTAACCATGACACTTGATCTCATGTTGACGGGCAGTAGTGAAATGGATCAACTGCAGTAATCACATCTGGAAAAAAAGGCTTTTTGTTTACTTTCAGCGTTCTTTGCGCATGTAATCGATTACGCACATTGTAATTTTCTATCCGAGCTTATTGGAGAAAGACCCTTGCTGTTCTGTTCATTCAGACTCCAGCCGGGAAGGGACTTATGACCTGGTTAGCATCTCAGTGCTTCCAGGGGAAGCCTGCCCTGCCCTCCTTACATCTCCCCACGTCCTTGAAAAGCCTTCAGACGCCAGCTCTCACCGCGGCCGGTTCTGCTCCTGCACCTCCTTTCTCAGCTCTGCTCAGTCCTTTTCCTTTTCGGTTAAGACGTCCTGTGTGGATGAAGCCTGCAGCACAGATTTCGGAAATAAACCATCGGCAAAGCAAGACGTAGAGTAGTGGGTGTCTCCGTGCGTTGCTGGGGGGTGGGGGGGGGGGCTTCCTCACGTTCGACTGCGCAGGTGCGCCAGCGTGATTTGCGGGGCTGGCGGGCCCCGTGGGAGGACCCTAGCGCTTTCCCGCCTGAAATAGGAGCCCCCCAGCGCCCCCATGGTTGGCTGACCTCCAGAAATGGTTTTCACAACAGAATGGGAGGAATAGAATATCCACCAGGTTTTTCTTTTTTCTCTTTGAAACGCACCTAACAAGGCCATAATTTCCACTCTAATAAGCACAGGGAGACCGAGGTAACTGTTGAACATTTATTGAGAGCTGGTCATTTTCCACGTCTCTCAAAGCACAGATAACCTACCTGAGGCTTCCTAACGTAACATGGCAGTGGTTCTGTTTAACTTAAGTACGCACAGAGGGATCTGGGAGAACGTCTCAGCTGCGGGACGGAGCTGCAGACCAGAGTGTTCACACTCCAGAGGGCCGACCCCGCAGCACCCGGGGCCTTGGCGTCAGTGCAGCGTGAGGGTCATGTCCGTCCACAGGTTGGGGCTGGAAAGAACTTTCTGCCATTGGAGCTTCGATGGTGAGCAAGAGTCGGCGCCGCCAGCTGGACCCTCCTCTGTGGTGGGAGCGAAGTGACAGATGAGTGATAGTGGGTCAGCATACCTCTCCCTGTCCCTTCTCTCAGATTCTTAAAAATAAGGGCCAGCAGCAAAGTACAAAGTAACTTTGAACCTCAACTTAAGACTGTATTAAAATGTGCACCGCGAGTAAGAGAGAGCCCCCCCACCCCAACAAAACCAGACCTGAGAACAGGACATGCCCACGTGTCCCCTCCGCGGACTGAGAGGCCTCAGTTTGGAGGTGAGGAGAGGACAGCTTTGGTGGGTTGTTTTCCTCAAGAAGGGGGTCGACAGTCTTAACGTGTGGACCGACAGGAAGCCATTCCAGACCAGGGTCAGGTTTGTTCACGGAAAGGAGTTCCTTAGAGGAAGGGGTGTGCTCTGGACAATGTTCCTCTTAAAACACTGTAAGTTAGTGGTAAGTCCTGTTTCTCTTGAGTGGTCTTGGAGGCCCTGGGGATGTATGCAGGTGTTTGGTCCTGGTGTTTGGGGGGCCCTGCTGCCCGCCACCAGAAGCCAGCAGCACTCCTGCTGAGTGACACTGAAAAAAGCATTGCCCTCTGGTCCCTCTATTAACGAAGTACTTTCTGAATTGCCACTTGTTTGGGTTAAGAAGATATTCTTTAAGAAAATAATCCTAGATACAATGCATGCTTACTAATCTGAAGCTGAGAAATCAAATTTTGAATTCAAGAATGCTGAGAGCAGCTAAAAAAATAAAATAATAATCCTATTATGATTGATGCCAGAAACAAAAGCAAATACTGTACCCAGCCTGTTTTGAGACCTGTAATTTTTGTTTCTTTAGCAACTCTAAATCTGATTTAAATTGTTGAAATGCTTTGCTGTATTACCGCTTAGTTGTAAAGTAAAAACCGGACTAAGTAATTTTCCATCTCTGGTGGGTTAGACAATTTCAAAGCCAGTTAAGTCACCTGCTGTCATGGCCGCACTGAGGTGCTTTTAACGGTATCCCCGTGAAACAGTCACTAAGGATCAACCATGCTGCTTTGCCCCAATAAACAGACTTACTGGAACTAAGCCTGACTCCTCCCAGCAGACGGTCGTTCACACCGAAGGCGGCCTGGTCCCAGACGGTTAATTCTAGGCTGGATTGCCTCAGCTGAGAAGGACTTATGCCTTTAAAAACGAAGGAGTGCTTCCACTGGGGACAGGCTTGCTTCTTCAGGACAGGGGACTTCAGTCTCAGCCTTTGCTGGTCTGGCAAAGTGAGGCAGCTGCACAAGGAAACAGATTCAAACCCTATAATCTCTGCCCTCCACACGGCCTCTCCCCATCAGGACTGGCTCATCGGCAGGCCCGTAAGTGCTAAGATAAGTGCCACCACAGAACAAAAATTGTCAGCCAGGAAGGAGAATGGGAATCTTGAGATGTGGCTACATGACCCCTCTCTAGTATGCTCCAAATTTCTCTTAGAGCAGAATTCTGCACTGAGTATAAAGAGTGGGATTCTAGGATTCCAGGCCACGTGGCCCTCATCTTAATCTGCCTCCTTGGTATGACTACCACCAGGTTACAGCCAGGCTCATCAGACCTGCTACCCAGAGACCAGGACTCAGCTCACAGGTTATCTCATTTAACCCTGTTCTCAGGAAAATAAATTCAGAAAGCCTCAGTCACTTGCTCAAGGCCATACAGATAAGTGGCAGGGTTCAGGACAGAATTTAGTTCTGTCTGGCTGACCAAGCCATCATTTTTCCATTATGTCACTGATGGGATTTAGCAGTTCTATATGGTAATTAAGTGTTCACTTTACTTTTGGAGATACTATTACACCTGTAGTGAATAAAAATGAAATGAAGAGTCATCCATCTTACTCTTAATCCAAGAGATGTTAAGCTAAGGAAATATTTACTAAACACATGATTTTTCCCATGCTCCATTTCAGCCAGAAGATGCTGATTTACTGATAAAACAAGGGCTGATAAGACTGAGGGTTAGTTTAAAATGTGGTAGTCCCAACCTCAGCAGCCCCAAATCTCATGAATTCTTGGAAGCCAGTCTTTTAACTTGGGTTCTGTCTGATTTTCACAGGAAAGCTAAACTAAGACAAGTTTACAACGGTTCACACAGTCCCATACAGGGACTGTGCCGTATGTGTAATGGATGATCAATAAATCATACTTGATTAAATGTAATACCTACCCCTTCACAAATGAGTTTAAGGTCCCATCTGACCGCACAGGTAAATTCTTGGCTCCCAGCACCACCAAACAGAGCTGACCGTTACGTGATGACTGATCTCCCATCTCTGGAAGGAAAGCCGGCATTTACTGTGCACCCTAGTTCTACATCACGTTAGCACACAGTGCCATCACCCCAAAACTGACAGCTTAATCAGAGGACGTGTTACAGCCCTCAGGTCCCAAGAGGGCAGGTAAGAGGAGGAGCACGTCCACGATAAGAAGGTTCTGCTGGACGGTCAGCATGACAGCACGGAAGGGCTGCTAAAATCCTAGGGAACTGGAAGCCGCAAAGAGTAATGGGGAAGCCAAGGAGAGGAGGAGGCAGGCGTTTCAGTCAGTTACAGCCGATGAGTTTGGGGAAAGACCTCTGTTCTAGGAGACTGGTGATGATCACAGGGCCTGCTGCTGGTCTGCTAGTGGCCCTGTGAGCTTGGACAGCAGAATTCCCTCTTCTGTCAAATAGGGAATCACGAGTAACATCATGGAATTGCTCCTTCTCCTGTCTTCGCTCTCCACCCTCATCTTTTTCACATGCCCCACGTTATTTAGTCAGTTACAAGGAACCCTGTAAGTTCCTGGGGGACCTTGATCTGCAGCTGCTCACGTGGCCCAGGGGCCGGGAACTAGTCACTCGGAGCCTTGCAGGCACCCTCACCTGGAGGTAACAGACTCTGGGTTCCTAAGGAACCAAACTGCCAACACAGGTGGTCAGCCTTCAAGGTGGGGCCACAGTGGGACTTTATCCAGGGAGACTGTGTAAGCCTGCCCTCTGGGAGGAAAAGCTCGGGGCAGGTGTCCAAAGAGCCTGTAAAGTGGGCATCACAGGCTTTGCCTGATTTTGGTCAGTGGTTTCCTTTCCAGACAGAGTTCCAGAGAACCCGCTTCCCAGGCTCGGCTTCGCAAGGTTTGAGAAGAGTTACTGGAGTGCGGGATCAGTGGGCGGCAGAGAGGAAATGCTGGGAAACACTGCCTGACCACTCAGCCCTCCTGCTGCTCCATGCTCTGGGACAGTGACACAGGGAAAGATGAGTGTTTGCTGGCCTGGAGGCCACCTACCTTCTTGAGCCTCCTGGAGCTTCCTGGGCCCTGCCGGGAGGACCAGTTTGGCCCGAACTGCAAGTTCCCCATTATTGGGAGGAACACTGTCTTCGTATTTCTCTGCCTGTGGGAAGAGGCAGAGCTCAGAGGCAGGATTCCCGGCCCCCAGAATCTTCTGGGCTCCACCCATTGCCTCAGCTCCGTCCATAAATGTCCCCTTCCAGCCTCCCCCTGCTCCTCAACCCCTGGGAAGCCTCTGCAGGCCTGGGAGAGCCCCAGGAGAGTGGACACTCCTGTGGCAGGACTGGTCTTTCTTCCATTTATGGTGACTCTTCACTCACACCCACACCCACACCACCCCCAGCTCTGCCACTGCAGCCGCCCACCCCGGCCAGTGCAGCCCACCAGAAGGAGCTGGGTGAGGAAGAAGAGGGCCTCAAAGGCCCTGGCACATTCCCACAGGATGGTCCTAAGAAAACCTGGACCCAGTCTGAGTCTGAAAAAATAAAACCAAGCGCCCCGCCGATTCCACCACCCAGGTTGTTGAAGATTCCAGCTGCCCACCCGTGCCAGGGACTGAGGCAGGCGCGGGAGAGGATGGGGCCCCAGGCTTGGTGCCCACAGCATAGGGGTGGTTCCCTAGTCTGGGAGAGTCAGCCCCGCCCAGCCCAGGCCCCCCACTGAGGACACCTCCACACAGAGGACCCAGGTGGCTTCTCTGGTCGCCAGTGATTTTGCCAGAAAGTGAAGGAGGTGCTCAGAGAGCAGTGACTCTGCAATTCAATCACCTTTCCCCTAGTGGGGTAGAGGCAGGAGACTGGCGAAGGTCTAGATTCATTCAGTCCCAATGGCAGGAGGAGCAGCCTCCAACCTCAGCTTCCAGAAACCCTTGCCAACCCCATGGCTTCTGCCTATCAGGGCCAAGGTGGGGGCAGGCCTATGAGCAGACACCCTGATCCAGCACCGGGTGTCACTATCTATTAGCTGGGATTAAGAGGGACGCCTTTCAGTCTGGTGCTTTCTGCTCCTCGCCTGCTTATCAAACGATGACCAGCCTTGGTGGCAGCCTGTCTTGACCGGAGTAGCAGATCCTATAGGGAGAATGTGGGAAGAGCATGGGAGCCTGAGGGTAAGGGGAGACCACATCTGGCAGGGAAAATCAGGGGAGCCTTCATGGAGGAGGTGAGATTTAAGCAACATCTTGGGCAGACCTTAGATGAGAGAAAGCATTCCAAGTGGATATTCCCAAGCAGAGGTCTGAAGATGGACTAAGGTTCTGAGAAGAGAAAGTGCTGGGTGCCAGATGGTGAGTGTGGGGGCTGCCCTGACCCCACAGAGAAAAGACCATGGAACTGGGGGGACAGTACAGCTCCCAGGCTCCAGACCATGGCCTAACCCCATAGTGGCCAGAAACCAGAGACGTTTCTAAGCAGAGGCCTCGTGACTCAGAGCCCTGGCTTTGGAGAGGAAAACAGGTAAACTGGCACATGGGCCCTGGTCCACTGGTCCAGGCCTGGTACAGACTCAGACCCGCCACCAGACGTTCACTGGTGGGACGGACGCTTCCCCTCACCATTTCTTAGAAGGTGATGGACCTGCGTTTTCTCCTCCTTCCCTCTCATACGTACTTTCTCCCAGTCCCGGATCTGGGTGTAGAAATGTGCAAAGCAGCTGCCCCAGGAAATGCTAACCTCCCCCCCAGCCACTTCTGTTACCTGCAGAGCCACCAGCCAGCTCCGCCTCTCCTGGCCTGTCTGATGCGGGCATCCGCCCGGGCAGGGCAGCCTCTGCCTTCCTGAGAGCATTTGGCCTGGTCATTCTCACCTACTACTGCCTGGGGAATGCTGCTTCCGCTGCTTCCGTTAAAAACACTACTCGATAACCTGCATGTCTGAGGCAGGGTCCCAGCTGCGGGGCAGCCTGACTGGCCACAGGTGTGGACTTTGGCCCAAGAAGGTCAAGGCCTCCTCAGCTGACAACGAGCGACCCCGAATTCAGGGAGGCACGTGGACCCACCAGATCGTCCCCACAGGGCTGAACCCTGAGCCTGACACATGCTGGTGTTTGGGCCACACCGAGGGTGGGGCTATTCGGGTCCCTGAACAAAACCTGAGCCGATAAGAATCCTTCAGCCCAACCCCACCCAGAGAGCCCAACCGTGAGCCTCTTCCCCCAGGAAGCTCCTACAGAGGAGTCACAGGCAGGCAGGCGCAGTCCATGTCCCGGCCCCAGGGCTCCTGGGTAGGTTTTCTCTTCTTTGATCCCTTCAAGTTGTTGGGCCGGGGGAGTAGGGGCTGCTCAGTCCCAAACCAGACATCACCTTGGCCCGGAGAGGATACCAGCGGAAAGACTGGGTCGTGCTGTCTTCAAAGTCCCATGTGGCCAGAGGGATGATCACTTCTCCAAGAAAGGCTCTCCGGGTGAGCGTGCCCAGGTGCCACACAGAGACCTGCAGCCGCCGGGTCCCCAGCTGGGCGGGCTCCACCCGGTACTGCGGAGGCACAACAGAGACCATCAGCCTGGGCTCCCAGGGCCCATGGCTCCCACGAGGTTTTTAGTCTGTTTTTCCCTCAAGTCTATGGTCCATTTCCAACTCTGGGCCTCAGCCCTTACTTTGTCTTTAACTTCAGAATTAATCTAGTTATTTCCTTCATGGCTACAGGCCCCATCCACTGAGTCCAGGCTAGCAGCTCAGGGTGCTGCGTCTGCTCCCGCAGGACGAGCCATTACGGGGAGGGAAGCCATCTCTCCAGGTCTGCCCTCCTCGGGGAAGCTCCATAACCTCCACCTCTGGGCAGCCCTCCTTGATGCTCTTTGGAAACACAGGCCTGCTTCCCCTCAGGTCCTGATTGGTGGCCCCTTCCTGATGAAACAGAGGGCCTTTTGGTTGACTAAATCCACTTTTTAAAACAAGACCAATTTTCCGTTGCCCCGTTAGGCCCACAGGGCTGTGCCAGAGACCCTGGATCGCGAGTCACTATGGGCAACTAGCACCACAGAACAGGGTCAGCCAACATCCAGCGTCACCCAGATCTGGTGTCTCCTTTCATCCTTCCCAGGGTTCCCATGGAGTGGTCTTCCCAAGGGGTGGGAGCTTGGAAACGTGGAGGGTCAATTTCTAGATCATCCACTTTCCCATGCACTTTCCTCAAAACTGGCCAAGATAGTTCTCACTCCCGGGATCTCATTCTGGTGCCTTGCCCCGGGGGTACAACCTCCAGCGAGCTAAACAAAGGGGGAATTTGAAATACTGGCTTCCATAAAACTCTTAATGATCATGCACCTCCTTCATCTTCCCAACTTTTCCATCTTACATGTATTTCTATGAAGGCTAAGGCTGGGCCTGTGTTGAGATGTTCTACATTTAGAATTGATTCAAGACAGATTCTTTTCACTGTATCTGGAAAGTTTTTCAGGATAACCAAAATATTCACAATATACTGGATAAAACTGATGGATAAAAGTTGTAGGTGATTTCTTTGATACTGGGTACATTTTAAATAAGGTAGTTAAAACTTTAAAAGTCAAACTGTGTAATTAAATATTTATCTAAAATATAGCCAATCCTCACATTTGTCTCATTTCATAAAATGAAATATTTGTGAAAGTGAAATATTTGTCTGCTTCTGTTTAGTACCAAATACCTTAAGCACATGATGAGTAATTTTAGATACCAGCTTAAAATGTGTGAGGGGGCACAAAGCTTTTCAAGATTCTTTTGAGCAGGGACATGAGCAAAACCACGGGAAGACCAGCCTCCAGGGATTCGCCACAAGACTGGCCCCAGACAGGCACACCTAAGGCCTCCTCGACACTTGCTGAGTCACAATCTGTTTTAAAACAATCCCTTGGGGAGGCCTTACAAACATAAATTTTGTGAATGACTGCGAGTCCATCGTGGGTCAGAGCTGTATTTCTAAGTACCCTCCAAGCCTCAGTTTCCCCATTGCTAAACGAGGATTCTAATACCTAGGGTTCAGAGGGTTCACCGAGCACTTGGCCACAGCAGGAGCACAGAAAACAATCGCTGTTTTCATGTACTGAATGGGACTCTCTGCCAGCTGCCCAGACGGCCCCTGGCTGGGAGTTCACAAATGTCCTGACTTTCCAAGGAAGGCAAACAAAGCGCTCTCCTTCCTTGGGCTTGGGGCTTGACACATGGGATCCCTGGGCTGCCCATCTCTGTGCATCTGGACTATTCTTTCAGCTCCAGACCTCTGACTTCACCAGACATCGTCTCCAATTCTCCATCCTGAATCCCAGCGTGGGGGCAGCCCCTCCCTCATCTCTGCTCTAAACCACAAGTCACATTTCTTAGAGCCAAAGAAAGTGAAAACCCAGACAATTCCTCTAGAATTTTTTTTCATAAAATTACTATTTTTTTCATAAAATCAGAAGAAACCTGGGTTTGCCAGATACTTTGATGAAGAAGTATTTTTACAAAGATAGTGACTCAGCAGTTTCATTTATAGGGTAACTTGCTTGAGAATACCTCTCTGATAGTCATCAAAGTGCAACAGGGCAAACCAATTTTAGAAATTGAGCAGCATGGAGGAGGGGATAGCTCAAGTGGTAGAGCACGTGCTTAGCAAGCACAAGGCCCTGGGTTCGATCCCCAGCACCTTCTCCAAAAATAAATTAAACCTAATTACCTCCTCCCCCCAAAATAAATTAAACCTAATTACCTCCTCCCCCCAAAATAAAAAAAAATTTTTAAATAATACAACAGTAAATAAATAAAATGTTAAAAAAAGAATTTGGGAGGCAACCATTTTTTTCACCATTTTCCCACAAATCATTAATCAAAAGCCATTTCTCAAGTCCAACAGACTCTGCATTTTTCCTGTACAAAGGCTGAAATTTATTTTCTACCCACTTGCCACTGATTGACAGAGCCCTGCAGAAGCGTCTGAGTATCTGCACTTACATTTGACTGACTCAAGGGTTTGGGAGAACCACCTGCTGGACTCTGGCCCCAGGGGCCCAGCCCGGGCTGGGGGAGACTCAGTGTGTGAATATTTGTCCAGCAAGTACCTTCAAGGTCTCCTGGAAGGTCGGCTCCACTGTGTTCTTTTGGACTCCAGTCTTGCGTTTTCCCTGGGAGGATCTGTCAGGCAGCAGATAAGTCTTGACGTACCTAGTGGCCAAACGAGGTGAAAACTCAGCGTTTCCGGGGGCAGGGGGTGGGGTGGGGTGGGGTGGGGGTTGGGTTCGGGAGGAAAATCACACCTCAGCGTTTTCTTTTCCCGCTTCCCGCTGCGTTTGGGGTTGACTGCGAGGGCTTAGTGGCCCTGCCACTGACGGTGAACAGGAGAGTGCTGTGTACACAGCTCCTGGTCGATACCATCTCTGTCCATAATGCTCTGGAATGTTCCTGGGGGCTTGACGCTCCCCCGGCTGGCCTCATGCCCTGCTCCTGGAGTCTGAATTACTCATCAATTGCCAGGGGGTGACAACCAGGGAACCGGAGGCTCCCAGGGCTCTGTGGGGTGGGGCAGGTTTCTAAACTGCCTGGATGTAGAGGCCGCGTGCCATCTGGTCCTCCCTCCCCCTACCTCTGTCCCCCCTAACCCACAAGAAAAACAAGTGGAAGTGGAAAGTGGACGCTTCACACTGTGCTTTTTCCCTGTGGGGCCTCAAACACTGCCGTCCCAACTGCGGAGGACCGGCGTCCATGAGCCCTCTCTGCAGAGGAAACGTGCCAGGGGCCACCTGTGCCCAGGCCATCCCTCCACTGGGTCCCGAGCCAGCCCTCCCTGGCTCCTCTGGCTGCTTCACTGATGGCAGCGACACTGCTTGCCCAGGTCCCGTCCCCACAGGCTAGAAACAGGCTCAACCTTCCCAAAGCAACAAAGAGCCGGAACCCTCCCTCCCCAGACTCAGGCCTCTTTTTCACGCTCTTGGAAAAGTACTGTCACAGGTCACTGTCACTGATTCCTCACTATTCATTTACTCTTAAGTTGTTGATCATTATGAGCCCTCACACATGTAAAACAGGAGATGCACAGCGTTATCTGCAGAGCTTAAAGCATTACAGTAAAATGCACGCCCATGTGTCTACTTGCTTTATGGTGTTAAGTCCTCTATTTCCTTTCAGATCTTCTGTCTGGGTGTCCTACCCGTTACCGAGAGTGGAGTATTGTCTTGTCCAACTATTATTTAGAACTGTCTACTTCTCCCTTTAATTCTGTCAGCGTTTGCTTCTTACATCTTGATGGTCTGTTATTAGGAACACAGACATTTTTAACTGTTATAACATCTTGATGAATTGAAGTTTTTATTAATATATAACACCCTTTATCTTTTTAATCTTTTTTTGGCATTCTTTTTTTTATTGAAGTATAGTCAGTTTACAATGTTGGATCAATGTGTTCAGGAAAATGTTTCAGTTGTACATATACATACATATGTTTTCATATTCACTTTCATTATAGGTTACTACAAGATATTGAATACAGTTCCCTGTGCTCTACAGTATAAACTTGTTTTGTAACCTTTGTTAAGCTCTGTTTTGCCTGATATTGGTACGGCCACCCCCTGCTCACTGTTAGTTACCGTCTGCATGGAGTACCTTCCAGTCGTGTCACTGGACCTTAAGTGAGTCTCCTGTAGATGGCATATACTTGGCTCCAACATTTTTACCCACTCTGCCGATCTCTGTCTTTTGATTGGAGCGTCTAACTCATTTCTACTTTAATTACTGATAAGAAGTACTCACTTCTGTCATTTGCTGTTTCTCTTGCCTGATAGATTTCATGTCCCTCACTTCCTGCATTACTGTATTCTTTAGTGTTTAGTTGATTTTCTGTAGTGAAATTTTTAAATTCCTTGCTCTTTTTTTTAGTTTTGTTTTTGTTCTATAGCTATTTTTCTTGTGGTTACCAAGGAGATTACATTTAATATCCTAAAGCTATAACTTTAAGTTTTACCATCTTAACTTCAATAGGATATAAGACCTCTCTGCTCCTTCTCAGCTCTGTTCTCACCTCTTCCTATTGCTGACATCACAAAATTATGTCTGCATATGCATGTGACCCAAAAACACGATAATAATTCTTTTAAACGCATTAGTCTCCTAAATTATGTCAAAAACAAAGTAGTGGAGTTACAAACCAAAATTACAATAATAAGAGACTAATCATCTTTTAAAATGCATTAGTGTCCTAAGTCATACGAAACAAAAAGTGGAATTACTTACCACTATTACAATAATTCTAGCTTTTATAATTGGCTGTGCATTTGCCTTTATTGTGGCCTTTATTTTTTCACATGTTTTTGAGTTACTGTCTAATGTCTTTTCATTTTACCTGCAGTTAAATCTTCTGCATTTCTTGCAGGGCAGCTCTGGTGGTAACGAACTCCATCAGCTTTTGTTTAGCTGATTCTGTTGTAATTTCTCTCTCACTTTAGAAGAATGGTTTTGCTGTGTTATTTTCTTTTCTTTTCTTTCAGCACTTTGTATTTACTGACCCACTGTCTTTTGGCCTCTAAAGTTTCTGATGAGAAATCTGCTGATAATCTTCTTAAGGATCCCTAGCACGTGACGACTTACTTCTCTCTTGCTGCTTTCAAGATTCTCTCCTTATCGTCCAAACATTTGTTCATGATGTGTCTCAGTGTGGTTCCCTTTGAGTTCATACTTGGAGTTCAAAGAGCTTCTGTGATGTTTATATTCAAGTCTTTCATCAACTTTGGAAAGTTTTCAGCCATTATTTCTTCAAGAAGTCTCTGCTCCTTGCTCTCACTTATTCTGGGACTCCCACAATGCATATGTTGGTCCACTTCATGGTATCCCAAAGGTCCTTTAGGTTCTGTTTGCTTTTCTTTAATCTTTTTTCTTTCTGTCTCTCAGATTCAGTAATTCCCATCATCCTATCTTCAAGTTCACCTATTCTGTGTTTTACCTGTTCATAGCTGCCTTTGAATCCCTCTAGAATTTTTCATTTCAGTTATTGTAGTTTTCAGCTCTAGAATTTGTTTGTTTCTTTTCAGGTTTTCTATCTCTTTATTGATATTCCTATTTTGTTTATGTATTATTTTATTGACTTTCTCCACATCTTTCTTTGGTTCTTTGAGCATCCTTAAGACAGTTGTTTGTTTTAAAGTCTTTGTCTAGTAAACCTGCCATCAGATCTCTTTCAGGGGCAGTTTCTGTTGGTTAATTTTTTCCCTTTGAATGAGTCCTGCTCATTTCCTGTTTCTTTATATGCCTTGTGATTTTTTTGTTGTTGTTGTTGAATACTGGACATATGTATCTAATAATGTGTTAACTCTGGAAATCAAATTCTCCCCCTTCCTCAGGGTTTGCTGTTGTTACATTTATTGGGTTTTTAATAAATTTATTGTTGTGTTAGTTTCAGGTGTACAGCAAACTGATTCAGTTTATATATATATTCTATTTCAGATTCTTTTCCATTATAGGTTATTACAAGATACTGAATATAGTTCCCTGTGCTCTACAGTAGGTACTTGTTATCTATTTTACATATAGTAGTATGTATCTATTAATCTCAAAAGCCAAATTTATCCCTCCCTTGCCCTTCCCCCTTTGGTAACCATATGTTTGTTCTCTATGTCTGTGAGTCTATTCTTGTTTTGTAAATAAGTTCATTTGTGTCTTTTTTTGATTCCACATATAAGTGATATCATATGATAGTGTCTTTCTCTGTCTGACTTACTTTACTTAGTATGATTATCTCTAGGTCCATCTATGTTGCTGCAAATCGCACTACTTCATTCTTTTTTATGGCTGAGTAGTATTCCATTGTATACATATACCATAGCTTTTTTATCCAGTCATCTGTCAATGGACATTTAGGTTGTTTCCACATCTTAGCTATTATAAATAGCACTGGTATGAACACTGAGGTGCATGAATCTTTTTGAATTAGAGTTTTCTCCAGATATACGCCCAGGAGTGGGATTGCTGGATCATAGGGTAAGTACCAAGATTTAAGGAATCTTGGTACTGTTCTCCATAGTGGCTGCACCAATTTACATTCCTTCCCCCCAACAGTGTAAGAGGGCTCCCTTTTCTCCACACTCTCTCCAGCATTTATTATTTACAGACTTTTGGATAATGGCCATTCTGACTGGTGTGAGGTGATACCTCATTGTAGTTTTGATTTGCATTTCTATAATAATTAGCAATATTGAGCATCTTTTCATATTCCTGTTGGCCATCTGGATGTCTTCTTTGGAGAAATGTCTATTTAGGTTTTCTGTGCATTTTTAAAAATTGTTTTTTTTTTATATTAAGCTGTATGAGCTGTTTGTATACTTTGGAAATTAATCCCTTGCCAGTTGCATCATTTGCAAATATTTTCTCCTGGTCTGTAGGTTGCCTTTTTGTTTTGTTTATAGTTTCCTTTGCTGTGCAAAACCTTTTAAGTTTACAAGTAACAACTAGAAGAAGACATGTAAAATATGTATAACCAATGAAGAATTGTATTGAAAATAGGTTTAAATGGATTTTAAAAAAAACCTCCTGTAAATAAAAAAAATCTCTTGTAATTTTAAAATGATAATTCAATAGAATAATAGACAAAAGATATGAATGGGGAGTTCACAGAAAGGGAACAAACCCTAAGTGGTTAATACATATATAAAGTTGTTTTGTTATTAATCAGGGAAATGCATGTTAAAATAATGATGAGATGCCATTTCATATCTGTCAACTGGGAAAAATTAATCTCTTTTTGGGTTGTGTAATACAGGATTTTAATTTTATCTTTCCTACATGAATACTCAAAGTTTCCAACACCGTTTATTGAAGTCCATCTTTTCTGCATTGATTATTAATAGCTGCTTGATCATTTGAGTTCCCATACATGCTAAGGTCTGTACCTGGACTTTCAGTTCTGCTCTGTTGACCTCCTTGTCTATCCCTGCATCCATAATACACAGTTTGAATTACTAAGCTTTATAGTAATTCTTGCCATAAGTCTTCTTGATTTTTTTTACAACTGTCCTGATTATTCTTGAACTCTCACTTTTCCACATAAACTTTAGAATCAGTATGTCTATCATCTTATGCCAGAACTTAGACAAAGAAACTTACGGATTGCACTTTTTCTTCTTTTCCTCCCCATAGGCAAGGTTCTTACAAGCCTTGATGCATATTTCTAAAGAATGAGTTCTGAAGCAATAACGAATGGCAAATTCTATTTCTCCAGTGACATTAGCGTTGTCAAAATTGCCCATCTCTGTACAAGTGCTGTTAATGCTAATTAAACTTCCCTGAAATCAAAAAGGACAGAGAGAATGAGTTACTTCACAGTTAGTCAATTTTTTTGCAGTTTTGATTTCAAGGTATCAGATAAATCAAAATTCACACAGAGCACACTTCCTGGCTCACGTGATGTTAATAATGCACCAGCTTGTCCTTTGCAAAACAAGTTGCCACATACGCTTTCCTAAGGAGATGAGGAATCCTCAGATATGGGTCTGCCTAGCAATAAAGGTTACACAATCTCATTCTTGAACACAAATCACCGGGGAAGAAGTAGGTTATTTTCCATGCAACTCTGCAAAGCTGGCTCTCCAAGGGCAGATCATATCCATGGCAGGAATAGCGCTGTGGGAAGCAGCACAGGATGGGGGCCAAGTGACTGGGAATCACATAAAGCTTGACTCAAATTCTGCTCCCCATCGGCCATGTCAAAGTCTAAATGGAAAAAGTAATACTATTCTCGTAGAGTTATGGTAAAGAGTAAATGGAATAAAGTATATAAAATATGCAAAGACAATAATAAACTGTGTTTAAATTTTTATGGGTTCCTAGCATGAAAAGCGAAACCACCACCATAAGTTAGGGCCCCCTAAGCTGAGACGCCGTGGAGCAGTCGCACTAAATGACAGCACAAACTACCTCATCACCATCCAAGTTGCTTAAATATTTGCCAACCTTTGCACGCAACCAATCTCACTGCTGACCCTATAGACACAGGGAACCCTGTGTGATTTCCACTTTCCCAGTTGGCTCCTCAAGACTGTAAAACATCCTGGAAGGAAACTGAGAAGAAAGCCTGAGTCTCTCTCACTAGAGAGAGAGCTCAAAACCAGACCAAACCAACAGCTCATCAGAGGGACCCGAACTTGAATGAACTCATGCCAAGAACCCAACCAACCGTCACCACACCCAGTCGCCAACCCTGAAAAATGTTATCCGCCAACGCCCACACAGCTGTTAAGATGGGAAACAGTTTTGAAATTTTACTCACCGAGAAAGGCATGGAGTGGTGAGACAGCAGGAACAGGGAGGTACAAGAGGGTGAGGCTGGAAGATCACAGGGAGGGAAGTTTGGCAAAAGGTGTGAGAGCTGCTTGAGAGAAGAATGAGGTGGATGAATGGAGGTGCTAGAAAGTTCTGGTAATTAACCTGGCACTCATCACTGGCCTCCACGCCGGGCTAGGGCAGACTAAGTCGTACTACACCAACTCTCCTACCAAGAACATGCAGAATGCTGAATTAAAGAACAAGTTGTTTCAAGGCGTCGTAGAGCTACCAGGGCAGCCAGGGAGCACGGGTCCAGGATGCTGAAGGGAAGCGCTGTGAGGCAAGCCTGACATCCCGTGCTGGGTGCCCTCGTGGCCTCTGTCCACAGGGAGGGAAGCAGCGCAGGGCGGGGAGGCCGGGTCCCGCTAAACGCAGCCGCTGTGAGGCCAGAAGGCGAGCACAGTGACAGACCTCTGGCCCAGGCTGTGGGGGACAGAGCCCGGGAGCTCAGCTCCCAGAGCAAAGGGAAACGCGGTGAGGTCAGAGCGACACTGGATGCTGCTTCCCCGCAAGACCTTTTCTGAGTCGGAAGCAGTTGCCGGGAGGCTGAGAAGCTTCATTCATCTTACTAGAGAGAGAAAAATGGAGTTCAGGCCCACCTCAGAGGGGCTTGGTAAACATCCAGACTTCCAGCTGGGACCCCTGGAAGGCCTTCTCCCCTAGGAGGATGCGCCCCCGGGCAGTGGGCCATCCTCACAAAGACCGAAACCCAGCTTTGAAGGAGCTCAGCACCGGGTGGGCAAAGACTACTGGCCTCCCTCCTAGACCTCTGTTCTGCTGGAGCAAAAGCAAGGTCTCTCTGAAGGAAGACAAGACCCATCTTTCCCATTCAACTGGGAACTCGGGGACAGCAGTGACCCTGCAGGTTTCTACCCTCTGTCCAATCTCCAGCACCAGCTCAGTGCCTGCCTCAGGGTAAATCCTCAATAACTGTTGATGAAGTGAATAAAGAAAGCACTTGAAGTATTTTGATTTTAAAAGTTCTCCCTGGGAGGAGGGAAATAGCTCAGTGGTAGAGTGCATGCTTAGCACGCATCAGGTCCTAGGTTCAATTCCCACTACCTCCGTTAGAAAAAATTAGATTAAAAAATTTTAATTAAAAAGAAAACTCTGTAAACAGTATGGTGTGAGGGGTTGTGCTGTCCTGTCCTGAAGGAGCAATAGAATTGAAGTGAGAAGCCTAGGGATGGGGGGAGGGTCATCCTAACCTTGGATGACTTTAGTTAAGTCCCTTAACTGAAGATTCTGGAGGGAAAATATTTGAAAATAAAACCACATGTAGGCACATCATAATAAAAATCGCTGAAAATCCAGGACAAAGAGAGACATCTGAAAAGTAGAGGAAAAAAAGATATGTTACCTTCATGGAAGAAACAACATGGGCAGAAGAGGGTGGAACGAAGCGCTCCTGGGGAGGCTGGCATCTGCCGTGGGGCAGGGGCGAGCGGAGGTCGGGTGCAGACTCGGGAGGTTAATTTTGGTATCATGGAGGATTTGAGGATTCCAAGCTGATTCTCTTTTGTGTGTGTTAAGTGGGAAGAGGTTTATCTATGGAGAATGAGGAAGAAGAGCGGGGAGAAGTTCTGAAGATTTAAAAAGACTGAAAGAAAGTGTGAAATGATTGTCCTGAGAGCAGGAAACTGAGTCACCAGGGCTGCTGACTCTGCTCGGGGGCATCTGGAGCTGTTGACACAAAAGACATACCTAAACCCACACCCCCACGACAGGTGTTAGGTCTGCCCTACTGTGTGCACAGCTGTTTAGGTGCAGGTACAGAGAAGGTGCACGGCTGGTCCATTCAGCCTGGCACCCAAAATGAAAACCATCCAGGAGGCATGAGAAGTACTCGTCCTTCATTCTATAAGATAAGCAGAGGTCAAGACAGGTTGAGACCCACCCCCAAATTACACAGCAGATCAGAAGCCGAGTTGGAGGTGGACCTGGGTTCTTAAGGCCTTGGGCCATCAACTGCATATCTGCTTGGCCGGGCAAAGTGCAGCCGTGGAACTTGAAAGGCCAGCAGAGCCCGTCCTTTAGTCCACCGCATTCCTTTGGAGATAACTTATGACCCCACCACCACTGATTGCCCCCGGAGGGTTTTCTGCTTCTGTTTTCCCTGTAGACAGAGCAGAATTTTGAAGGCAGTTGTAACTTTGAGCAGCAAATAGAGTCGACCAAGAGGTCCCCGCCCAGTAGAGCAACTAAGAGCTCAGTCTGACTGGTATTAGAGCCATCGGTCCTGTCTGGTTTTGAAAGAGGAGAACTAAGTAAGGCAGGCAGGGTGCGTTCAGTGACTTTCCCTGAAGGCCACAAGTTATCTATTGTAACCACAAGCAAGGCCTGATGCTCTTTTCTCTTACAAAAGCAGAAAGCGAGGAGTCCACTGAAACCACACCTACTCTTAAAAAAATTTAAAAAAAATCTTGATCCCCAAAAGCACACAGAGAGTATTACTGTGGGGAAGTCAGGCCTGCAGTGGAGCCAGACAGACATCCCCTCAGCGCCCTGACACTTAGTGGCTGTGTGATCTAGAGCAGCTCTCTTGCCCTCCATAGCCTCAGCTTCCGCATCTGTAAAATGGGGTCTATTGTACAGAACTGGTATAAGGCTCAACTGGTTTCTCCATCTAAAAAGAGAACCGTGCCGGTGCTTAGCAAGTTTATTAATCCTCTGAAAATGCCACACGATGTGGTTGCCCTTTGATCTTTTTCTTTTTTACAGTGAAATACATTAAAAAGTCCATAGAATGAATAGGAATAAATAATAATTATTAAATGAACATCCATATACTCCCTGCTCAATGTCAGAAAACTAACAAAACCAGGACCCTGGAAGTGCCCTGTGGCCCCTCCCCTCTGATCTCTATTCCTGTCCCCAAGTCAATGCTGTACCAGAATTTTCTGTTAATCATCTTTGGTTTTCTGTTTGGTTTTATTACATATGTATATATCCCCCAAATAATCTATCAGTTAGTTTTGACTAATTTTGGAATTTATATAATAAGAGTCATATTGTGTACATATTTCTCCAGTAATTTACTTTCTCTTGATACTATGTCTTTAAAATTCATCTTGTTGTTCAATAAAAATAAATAAAATAACATAAAATTCATCTCTATGGTTAGGGATAGTTTTAATACATCCATCATCATTCCCCAACAGTGTTCCGTTGGATGAACAAGCCATAACATATTCATTCTTTCTTATGTTTTTTAATTTTTAATTTTTTTACACGAAAAAGCATTTGTATACATGTTTATTAAGCTATTTCATGACATTTACACATACTGTTTTTGAAACCTCAAAGTTCTTTGATCATTGCAATATTGCTTTCAAATAAGCATGGCAAAACCTTAAATATTATATTATTCAGATTATTTTTTAAAGAGATCTCTCTAAGAGATCACTCTACTATAACCTTTTACTGTTTTTTTAAATAAAAATAGGTTGATATGGGTAGATAGCTAAATACAATACTCTTTTTAAAAAAATGAGTGTAACCAGAAAAGTTTAGAAATTCAAAGGAAAACAGAAGTTTCCAAAACCGCAGGGAACTCTGGGTGATGGACAGGGGTAGACATTTTGGGCCAGTCCCTATTTAGAAGTGACCCAAATGCCACAAGCCTGTTCCACATCTCAAATTTATGTTTAAGGGAAACAACTAGGGAGTTGGGCTTTTACTTCTTCAAACATTAAAAATCCCTCAGACATGCCAAGCTCCTGCCCATCCACGTCTGAGGAGCTCCAGTGTCTAAGGAGCTGCAGGTGGTCACTTCGCCAATTCCAGATTCGCTGGCAGGAGACACATCAACGGCATGAAACATCAACATGGCGGGTGGGCAGAGCTCGGAGGTAGAGCACATGCTAACAGGCATGAGGTTCTGGGTTCAATTCTCAGGACCTCCATCAAAAAAAAAAAAAAAGCAAAAACAACAACAACAAAGAAAACATTGGTATAAATGCATTCCTTTTCAGGCTTTTTTTTTAAGAAGAAAAAACGAAATTGAAAATTGGACAGGAAATCTGATATGGTTTTTTTCTCCCAAGGAGATGCTAAAAAGTTAACCATGTATGTCTTCACTCTGCCAAGTTCTAACTCCTGATGATGGGAGTTTTGTTTTGTTTTTGTTGTTTTTAAACAAATTGGGGCTTTTCTTCTCAAAAGGCATTACTTGTTTATGGAGAAGATACAGAAAATACAGATAAGACAAAAAAAATTTAAGAAAAAAGCATAAGCCCACCATTCCAGGGTCAACCTTTCGGCAGAATCCTTTCAGTTGTTTTACAACGTCCACAGTATAATCATTTTATTTTTATAAATATGTGCTACTATAATACTATTTTATAATTATACTTTCATTTATCAATATATATTTTCCATATTAATATTCTTTAACCACATTATTTTTATTAGTCGCAAGGGTTCCTCTGAATAAATGCACCATAATTTATTCAACCATTGCTCTAGTCATTTTGGTTATTTCCAATTTTTCAAATTTAAAAAATAATAAACAATGCTGCTCTGGACAACCATGTATACACATTTTTGGCAATGTCATGATTTTTTAAAAAGAATATTTTCTGTAACTAAAATTGCTGAATTAAAGACAGCCTGCATTTTAAAGCCTTTGATACACGTTGCTCATTGCCCTCCATTTCACCCTAGCAGTTTGCAAGAATGCCTGCTCCTCCACACGCTTGCCAACACTGAGCTGCATCATTTTTTAAATTTGCTAAAATGGTCCCCAAATAGCATTTGCTTTAATTTTGCACTGACTTAACTACTTAGGAGGTTGAGTGCTCCCTCTATTTATTGCCCATTTCTATTTCTACTTTTGTAATAAGCAGAGATGTAAGACGCCTTTTCTAGTTCCAATTTCTTGTTTCTCAGAGAATATAAATGTCTCTCAGAAGAGAAGGCAACATCTTCCCTGGGCAATAAATAATACTGTTATTATTTGGGCAAGAAGTAATACTGTTATTCACTTTGTGGGAGTTCAGTTTTCCTCAAACACTGCTTCAGTCTAAAGGGAACAGGTTAGGATTAAATGCATAATGATTCACTCTCGCGATGATAAATGTTAAGGCCACAACAGAGCAGGCTTTAGAAGAAAAGGAGACAAGAGCCCCAGCTGAATCTGCGCAATGGTTTGGAGGAACTTTGCTAAGAAACAGGCTGAGCAGGATGAATACGCTCACCGAACCGCCTTACCCCAACATCGGTCGCCCCCGACATGTGAAGGTTTTCCAGGTGTGACTCAGCCTCAGGGAAAGCACTTAGTTTAAGAGTTCAACAGATCCCCTAGGATAGTACAGAAAGCCTGGGCTTTGCCTCACACGGCCCCTGAGGGATGAACCAGAGTTTGCAGTTATGACCTTAGCAAGCTGTGTAACCCCTTAGCAACCTGTGTAAGCCTCAGTTTTCCCATTTGTGAAATGGGATAATAGCATCCTTCAACAAGATCATGGCAAGAATAACTGAGAGGTGAAGCTCCTAGCTCTGTAATTAGCACACAGTAGGCTTTCAATAATTGACAGCTCTGATAAGAATTCACCCAACCATTTCACAAATATTTACTGAATGCCATTTAAGTGTCAGGCACTGCTCTGGGCACCTGGGAATTACAATAGACAATAAATAACAGATAAGCCAATTATACAGCTGTAGAAGGTGATAAGGAAGCGGATAAACACAGAGCAGGTGAGGGCGGCGGGCAGTGGGAGCAGGGCCAGGAGTGGACCTCCCTGAGAAGGTGACCTTAGAGCAAAGACCTGAAGGAAGGGAGGGAATGAGCTTGGTGCCTGGGAGAGGGAACAGCCCCAGGAACGGCCCAGGGCAGGTGTGAGTCTGGGGGGGTCAAACTCCGGCGGTCAGTGAGGTGAAGCAGAGTGAACGGGGGCAGGTGTGAGAGGTCCCAGCTCATGCAGGGCCCCGAGGACCACTGTTGGTGGATCCTAGCCTGCGTGCCTGCCTCCAGGTCGGTTTCTAGGCACACAAGACATGACTCTGGCCCTCAGAGGAGTTTACAGTCCGGTCTAGCAGGCCCTGGACAGTTCAGGGGAAACTGCCCCTTGGGCTCCCTCGGACGGAAGGTTTCCTCTCACCCTACGGGGTCAGCCTTA